CCTATGAAGGTGACCCTAGTGAGGATGCCTAGTAATTGGGGATACAGAACCTGAGCTGGCCATCCTCTATAATCAGGCAAGTCTTCCAGTGGTGGGACTAGGACACCAACCCAGCCCCAAAACCTACAACCTGTCTTGCCTGCAAGATGTGCTGGGCAAGGGTGGCTCAGAGCTTGTGGGAGTGGCCAATTAGTGATTGGTCTAACCTGAGAACCATACCAGGAGAGGGACACCATGCCCAGTACTGCCAGGATGGCCAGAAACCAGAGGCTGGATAGCCCAGAAACCTAGGATAGAAAGAAAAAAAATCCATAAATCAATTCCTAATGATATTCTACTGTTTCCCTAGATCAATGTCATACCAGTCATCATCAGATGCAGCTTATGGGAGCAGATGCAGAGACCCACAGCCAAACACTAGGCAGAGAGAGAGAGAGTCTGTATTGGAGATTTCCCTCCACTTGGAGCTCACAGAAATCTGCAGAAAGGGGAGAGGAAGAACTGTAGAAAATAGAGGGGTCAAGGGTACCAGGAGAACATGGCCCACAGAATCAACTAAGCAGGGCTGATAGGGGCTCGCAGAGACTGAAATGGCACTCATGAAGCCTGCATGGGTCTGCACTGGGTCCTCTGCAAATATGTTATAGTTGTGTAGCTGGATGTTCTTGTGGAACTCTCAACAATGCAAATAGGAGTTGTCTCTGACTCTTTTTGTCTGCTTTGGGACCCATTCCTTCTACTGGGTTGCCTTGCTGAGTCTTGGTATGAGGGTTTGTGCCTAGTCTTATTGCATCTTGTTATGTTGTGTTCAGTTGCTATCTGAGAGGCCTGCTCTTTTCTGAAGGGAAATGGAGGAGATGTGGATCTGGGGGAGAGCACAGGTATTGGGGGGGGGTGTTGGGAGGAGTAGAGAGAGGGGAACTGTGGTTGGGATGTATTACATGAGAGAAAAATAAATATATAAATAAATAAAGTACATAGAATAAATGACTGTGGGTATGATACTAAACAGGACATCTATATCACCCCATCCAAAGATCAGAGAGCATTATGGAAGTGGGGGCAAAAAAATAAAGCCAGAAGATAAAGTGCTGTTAAGTGATGTCTTATGGGCATTACATGGTTGTTGCATTCATGAACTCACAGCAGCTCTATGTCCCTTCAAAAGGTGTACACATGACTGAGCCCATCAGCATCTTGTCATGATAGGGAAGGAACTCATGAGGTGTCACCCCTCCCAGGAGCTGTCCAACAGTAAATGGTTGTTAGATTAGGACAGTAGGAGAGGTCATTTTCTGAGTGGTATAGAATTTTTTTAAGTGGTTTCATACTCCAGAACTGGAATGACAGCTAGGGAACCTGCATGGGACCGAACTAGGCCCTCTGAATGTGGGTGGCACTTGTGTGGCTTGGGAAGTATGTGAGGCCACTGGCAGTGGGACCAGGATTTATCCCTAGTACATGAACTAGCTTTTTGGAACCCATTCTCTATGGAGGGATGCCTTACTCAGCCTGAATACAGGGGGAAGGGGCTTGGTCCTGCCTTAACTTGATATGTTACTTTGTTCACTCCCCATGGGAGGCCTTACCCTCTCTGAGGAGTGGGTGGGGGTGGGGTGGGGGCAGGTTGGGGGTGAATGGGAGGAGGGGAGGGAGAGGGAACTATGGTTGGTATGTAAAATGGAAAAAAAAAACACCTTTTAAATTAAAAAAATAGCAAGACACACATACACAAAAAGAAAGTAACTTCCTACCCAAGCAATCCTAATTGAAATCAGTGGGTCATCAAAAAATGAAAAGGCACCAAAGTACAAATAAGACATGTTGGGAAGGGTTTTTTTTTATTTTACAATACTATTCAGTTCTACATAACAGCCACAGATTCCCTTGTTCTCCCCTTTCCTGCCCCCTCCCCTTCCCCCCAGCACACCCTCCCCATTCCCACCTCCTCCAGAGCAAGGCCTCCCCCGAGGACTCAGATCGACCTGATAGACTCAGTCCAGGCAGGTCCAGTCCCCTCCTCCCAGACTGAGCCAAGCGTCCCTGCATAAGTCCCAGGTTTCAAACAGCTAACTCA